GCAAGGGGAATGTGTCAACTATGTTGCAAGAAAATGTAAGTGTCTTAACTGCAGTAAATATTGTATATATCGCTTTTATCAGGAGTGTTTACGATGTGCTGTAGAATGTATTTCAAAAATTTTTTTGTTCTATTTCAGTTCGCCGTCCTCCACAATTCTGTGATGTGTTCCAGTTGTATTGCGGGCTCAGTGCTGGTGCAACAGTTCGGGATCTATGTTCAAGATACAATCCTTCATTTCTACGGATAGACGAACGGTAATTCTAGATACTAGAGACCTTACGATCAGGGCTCGAAATAGCGGGCTGCCAATGGCAAAAAAGCAGGCCATATTTTAGAAATGACAGGCAAAAACAAATTTGAACTGCCAAGTCAAAAAAAATGGCAGGTGAAATTCTATAGATACATTTCATTTCATTTGCTTACCACAACTCATATATATTAGATAATTTAGTTGACTAAATATGTTCGTATTTGAAATATAAATCAAAGTTTACTGTAGTAAAATAGGCAGGTTTAAAAATACTAAAAATGCACATCATGAAAACATTGATTTTTACACTATGACTCATATGAGACATCGAAATTTTGGCGTTCAGTGAATAAAAATGGCAGCAGGTTAAAATTTATTTCACCTGCCGAAAATTTTAGACTGGCAGGCCATATTTTTTTTCTACTTCGAGCCCTGCTTACGATTTAGGACGGCAACGGCTACCACAATACAATAATAAATCATTGAAAATAATTGAGTAATTACAATATATGAACAATTTAGACATTGTCCTCGCTCTGTTTACAACGTCAAATCGCAGATTTTCACGTCTTGATACAACGTCTGCATTCAAGCCGCAACAAGTGCAACTTCAAACTGGGTTCAACAGAACTCTTCCCAAACATAAAACCCATGTCTTCAACTTCTAAGACTGTATTCAATTCATACGACAAATTATATACCACAAATTATCTTTACTACCATTTATTTGAGGGAGTTTGATTTGGCCGTCGTCGCGTTGCCGTCCTAAACTCGTAAGGTCTCTACTTATATCAGATAATGCATCGTCTGGGTCCAAAACAGGATGAGGAATTTATAATGATTTTAGTCTTCGTGAAGAAAGGCTAAGTGGTCGGACATTTTGTCCGGACAAAAAATAGCAATCAACCTTCTTGGAAGGCTGGGTTAACCATAAGCTGCATCCAACCATCTCGCAAAGAACATTAAATGTAACAGTTTAACTACACTGGCTAGTGTTTGGCATGAAGTATTATTTATATATTGGCTTAGTTAATTTACCCAACAAAAGCATAAAATAGATAAGCTTCGACGACTTCTATCTTCCCTAGATAAGTATGGAGCAATTGCCATTTAATTTGATAAAAAAATATTGTTTGTATAAATATAATAAAAAAATCAAAACGGAAATCGAAGAATGTCCGACCAAATTATAAATTTGAAAGTTTCCGATCAAATTTAATTTTGATCGGACATTTTTCCGGACAAATTTCAGGCTCAGATGCGTATTGTATAAAAATTTAATCAAAAATATATTTTTTCTTCAGGTGTTTAATTCAATTTGGTTTGATGAAAGGTTTTGTTCGTCGTTTACATAAGTTCCCAGTGCTTCTGATGCCAGAGAGTAGTATGCAACCATCACAGATAAAGCGATTAGCAAGGTAAGAATGAATCTTGAACCACTTTAAATGTGGCATTATATGTTATTGTGTTGTTGATTCCACAGTGGCTATAATGGGCACATACATTTCTTGAGTGCGATGTGAATGAGTTATATAAATGTTCAGATGAGGGTACTGCGCGTATACTGTACTAAGAACAGGGGCGGATCTAGCCTCACCTGCAATGAATGATGCAAGTTTTCCATGGGGTGGTGAATGAGGGAGCCTTAATTACTGCCCACTCTCCTCTGCGGTCTCAGCAACGCTACTATCCCAACATTGCCATCTGCATGTCGCAGTTCTGTTACGTTTTACATTTTTATAAAGTTTATATCAGCTTTTTATCACGTACAGTATGCGTGACTGGACAGTTGCTGTAGCACATGGCTGTATAACAACCTTGACATGTTTACATATGTAACCATGATATTTTTAACTAAAGCATTCTTAGTATTTTCTCGTGAGCTCACAAATCAATTAAATCGTTGCAAGAAATCGACACCCGCTAACAGTAGAAGGTCCGCTAATCGCTATTCGAAAAGCAGAAAATGTATGATCACCTGATTTTTTGGGTGGTGCTGGATTTCTGTAGGGGGGGGGGTGCTCACTGCCTGCATCCCCACGTTAGATCCCGCCCCCCTCCTGAATCAGTCAATTATCCGACAATTTCTTTTGTCCTTGTATAGATGGTTAAATGGAGATCATAATTACGACGAGATTTGTACAGAAACGGGTATGAGCCATCAAAACTTGGACGAAATCATTGAAAATCATCCCCATATAACAGTTATTTGGAAATAACGAGGTGTGAATATGATTGCTTGAGAGATGGACCAAGACTGGAGTAATGAGTAAAGATCATCAAAACCATCAGCCCGACCAAGGTTGCTATAAAAGTGAAGTGGAGACTCGGGTTTTTGCTTAGATTGGAGACTAGAATACTGGGCATTTGTCCTGTATTATATTGCATAAGGCAATGCCAAAGACAAGGTCTAAATAACAGGTCAAAGACTGAGAACTTTGTGGATTCAAGGACTATAGAATATTGGAACTTGCCGAAGTATGGAATGTATAAAAACAGGAGTGAAGACTTGGAATTTTGGCTTGAGACTGGAATATTGTCCCTATATTTGGAGAGTCTAACTAGGTGAACGACTGAAGACTTTATGAAGACCAAGGGCTGAAGTTTTTATAAAAACTGGAGTATAGGTTATGGACTTGGACGACTGTATGAACTGGAGAATGGATTGGAATATTCTGGAAATGGAAGCATAGTTCAAGGTTGGAACAAATGTCATGAGCTGGGCTGAAATATTGACGAAGGACTGCGTAATTATCCATGAGCTAGATTAAGGTAGGAAATGTTTGAAGGTAGGATTTCTCGTTGCGTGGAACTTACTATAATTTACGTTTTGGCCACTTCAAAATCACGAAAATACTGACACGAACTTGTTAAGCCCAACTACTAGAAAAAATAGCTGACCATTACCAATGATCTTAGACTAATGTAGCTTGCGATGATATAGCAGAACACTGCTGTGTGAAATACAACTGTACAACTAAGTATTTTGCGTACAGCCTCTGGACACATAGGACATATACTGTAGCCCTGGTATAGAGCTATTATCATGTGGAATTCCATGGCAATACAGTTAATACTTTCGGAATGGCAACATTTTTGATTTTCAATGTGGAACAGCCTAAACATTTCGAAAATTTCGCTATTTCTAGCGCAGACGAAACTACGCCTTCACTTCTGAGGAAGTATTTTGCGTTCGACCTCCGAACATAGAGGGCAAATAGCCCTGGCATAGAGAGCTATTATCATGTGGAATTTCATGGCAATACAATGAATACTTTTGGAATCGTAATGGATGGCAACATTTTTGAAGAAGAGCGAAGGCCCTTCGTCTCGGCACGGTTAATATTAACCGTGGTCTCGGGAAGTCACATGTAGTTAGCCTGTATAATTCCATCTGAACAAATATCGAACTAATATTAAGCTACAAAATTTCAAAAAATTATTACACTCTTTTTCTTTGCTTGCGAAAAAACATAAAATGATCAGAATTTTACTACAGTACAGAGTATATGCAAAACCATATGAAGTAAACTGTATTTATTAAAAATTATTAATTTTTACTTTCTGAAGGTGAAATATATATTTTAACTTTTATGGCAAGAAACATTTTTCTATCTCTAAACGAAAATACGTTTTTCATAACTCCCAATAATAATAGTTTCATAAAAAAAGTTTAATTTATCCTGGCTTTAATCTTTAATAACATTACAAAAAATTATATTACCTATGCATGCTTTACTGTAAACTGCTCGCAACAGAAACCTCTCTAAACATTAGAAGTACTGTATAACATGTATTTCCTAGTTCAAAATGTTTGCAAGAAAACTTCCTACAGTCTATAGAATCTAAATAAATAATTGTATGATGTTTAATTTTCTAATTGTGACTTTTCTGCGCTGTTTTAAAACCGCTCCGGCGTAATGTTGAACGTTGTCTAAAAACCCATTTCCACTCAGGAATATTTTCCGCAGAAGGACAATTTTTAAAATGTGATTGCCCGACACAAGTTTTCCGTCGGAAAAAATTTTGAAGTTGAAAATTTTCAACTTTTAACAATGATATTTTTGGAAAATGTTCTGTCCGTGGAAATTTTCTTGAGTGGAAATGGGCTTTGAAGCCTGGTTTCCATATGCTTCGTAATGGTCGTAAAAATTCAGGGATGGATTTACTGGGGGGGGAGGTGCGGGAGGATGTGCACCACTGCACCCCCCTAGCCCTGGCCAGAGGGGGTTGCAGGGGGGGTGCTATTTTTCATGATAAAGCAAAAAATTATATACAGTAATTTGAGTAATAACATGATGATAAGCGAACTGTGAACAACAATTACAATTCAAATACAGCAGTGAAGCAAGACTTTGCAGTAGTGAAGCAAGTTGATGGTCGGGCGGCAGACATGACCGACACAACTCGACACCAGAGCTGGCAGAGCACCCCCCTACCAGATCATGCTGGATCCATCCCTGATCCATCCCTTTCTCAACGGTTTAATAGTTTATACCTGTAAACCACATATAAATCATAAGTATTCTCTAGTTATAATCACTCGGCGTATTTTCAGTTCTAAAATGTTGTATTTCGGCTGATGAGAAAGATCGTGACTCAATCTTTACGACCATATGGAAAGCAGGCTAAAGTCATCTTTGCGTAGTGAAGACATGAGTTCCTTGCAAAAGTATTATTTCGACATAAAGTGTTAGTTATCTTTGCACACGAGTATGGTCGTGGTCCTTCCTTGCAAAAGTACATTTCTACAGAATCGTGCAACAACCTTTACCTTTCTTCCTGACGACGGCGGCGCGTATTGCAGCTTCGAAGACATCTTGCACGCCATCACGTTTTAGCGCTGAACATTCTAAAAACGCGGCCGCTCCGGTCTCGGTCGCCATTTTTCTGCCTTGTTCCAAGGTCACTGGTTCCTCGCCTTCGTCTTTGAGATCTTCTATCGTGCTCGGATCATCTCGAAGATCTTTCTTTAAACCTAAATTGTAATATTAGTGGAAGCATTATTCGTTTAAGGTACACATGTAAAAACGCACAAGTTGTCACAGGTCTGCAAACAAGTTCTTACAAATCTGTTCACAAGCTGTCGACAAGTTGTGTTCGCACTGCTTGTTCCCAGTCGTTGTAACAAGTTTGGAACAAGCTGTTGACAACTTGTAACAAGCTTGATCGCATTATCAGACAAGGTTGTTACAAGGTTGTTCTGACAAGTCCGATGCAGTCATGATTTAACAAGAATGTTACGAGGTTGACGACACAAGGTTGTGACAATAGGGCCATTTATACGGAACAAAATAAGACGCGACTTACATAAGACGCGACTTAAGTAAGACGCGAGTTTGTCGTATAAAAGGTACAAAATTCTTATGTAAGACGCGTCTTGGATAAGACGCGTCTTACATAAGAACAGGTCTTTTAGCTGTTCTTATTTAAGTTGCGTCTTAAATAAGAAATTTTGGACAAAAAGTCTAACTACACATGCCAGAAACTTGAAACAACGTAAAATTTAATGCCTTGCATATTAAAACAAAAAGGAAACCAAAACAACAACATAGCTATAGCAAATAAATAAGACCAAAGCCGTAGAGAACCATTTATGCGATAACTCCACTTATTTAAGTCGCGTCTTATGTAAGTCACGACTTATTTTGTCACGTATAAATGGCCCTAATATTGTTATATCATGACTGTATCGGATTTGTTGCAACAACCTTGCAACAAGTCTGATAATATCAACAAGGTTGTTACAAGTTGTTAACAGCCTGTCCCAAACTTGTTGACAACTTGGGACAAGCAGTGCGAACACAACTTGTTGACGGTTTGTTGGCAGACTTGCTACAAGATGTGAGATTTTTACGAGTGTGCACACGTAGAAATATCACAACTTGTCAACAAGATGTGTTCGCAACAGGCTTGTAGCAAGCTTGTCAACAAGTTGTAACAATGCGGTGCTGTTATTTTATCAAGTTGCTACAAGGTTGTCACTCACAACTTGTTGACAAATTGTTGAATTGTAGGACGATGACAAGTTGTTGGAACAACTTGTAACAAGTCTGCTGAGCTCAACAACCTTGTAGCAAGTTGTCAACAAGCCGTTAACAACTCGAACAAGCTGGGAACAAGCAGTGCGAACACATCCTATTGACAAGTTGTTGGAACAACATTGCTACAAGTCTGCTGCGAGTTTGTTACAACTTGTGCGTTTTCACGTGTGTTCACACGCAAAAATCTCACATCTTGTAGCAAGTCTGCCAACAAGCCGTCAACAAGTTGTGTTCGCGCTGCTTGTCTCAAGTTGTCAACAAGTATAAACCTTGTTGATATTATCAAACTTGTTGCAAGGTTGTTCTAACAACATTTTGAGTGAGTAAAAGGTTGGGTAAATGAAAAACGAAACAACTCAAGGGTTGGATAATAAAAATTTATTGTCTTTTCCAAAGCATGACTCACTCAAATATTGAAGACTAAAAAGCAATGTCAACAGTCATATGTCAATATAATATGTGAATAAATCAGAGTCACTATCTTGATCATTTTCTGATTTGGGCAAATGGTGCCTCCAAAGAAAGTACATTTGTAGACAACATGAAACTTTAGACTGCAGAAAATTGCACAAACAGTTATCAAACTCAATTCACAACTTTGGTAACGTTTTTGGCTAGGGTGGGTATTTATTTTTTAATTGCTATTTGAGTTTGGGTAAATTTGTTTTGACTTTTTAATGGTTGGATCAGCGAAATATTCACCAAGAAAACATTTCTCTTCGGTTCCCCCTACCCTACCCCTACCCCCACCCCAAATAAATAATGACCGTTCTCTAATATTGTCTACGGGTAGGCTAAGGTAGAAATTTCTAAGTACCTACAAGTACCACGGGCACCCGTGGACAAAATTGCTCGACTTCCGGAGCCCATCTCTCTTTCACGTTGTCGTAACTATTCGGCGAGTCCACGGAATAACACACGAGTATTACGTCACTTCCGGGATACGAAAGCGGCCTGAGCCTGTCGTAGTCCTCTTGGCCAGCGGTATCGTATAATTCGAGTTCAATGTCTCTGTCGTCGAGCGTTAGTTCTTTGACGTAGTTCTCGAAAACCGTCGGAACGTAATCGGGCGGAAATTCGTTGTTCCGGAAGACCATTAGTAAGCAGGTTTTGCCACAAGCACCGTCTCCGACTATAACCAACTTTAGTTTGGTGTGAGACATTTCGAAATCTGAAAGTTGAACGCAAACATATCAGTATTTTATTAAGAGGCAGTTTTTTCAATGTCACGTATTTGCAATGAGAAGTGTTCAAAACCTAAAGTCTTTTTGGCGTTCCTTTCAAAATTACTTTGTTTTAGCTTTATTCTTATAGTTTATACAGTTCAGACATCATTTTCTCTTTGGCGTACCATCTAAAATCTTTTCATTTTAGCATTATTTTACAGATTAAGCACTAAACATACTTTTTAAGTTTGTTTGCCGATTGAGAAACGTATTGAAAAATAAAAATTTTGAATTTAGTTATAACCTCAAGTGGTATATTATACGCATTAGTTTTGAGCGCGTGTTACGTAACATACAAAAAAATCTCCTCTTGAATATTTTGTCGTATATTGATTCATTGAATGTGGAAACAGTGAAACCTTATAGTTCCCAGAACTTTTGTTGGGGATCTACATTTTTGCTGAAAAATTTCCAGGCATTTTTTGATGTTGGATAGCTAATTCTGAATATTACACTGATTGAATATCTACATTGCCAAATACCTGATTATTGAAATTATTGAATACCAAATAATTCTACTAACTCGATACCTATAAATTACAACCGCGGAACAGTTCGGGACGAGAATATTGATATAGCCTCCAGTAGAAAATTTGTTTTTAATCCTGTGAGATTGTAACTACTGTGAGTACTTCAGGATTTATCTTGGCCTTACAGTCTTTATAAAGACATACAGCTATTTCAATTAAGGTTGTCCACGAGCAAAGCGGAAAAGTCGAATACGAGCGCGAAAGGCTGCTGGGAACCGCTTTGAAAATTCATTAATTTGTTAGCGATTCCCAGCAGCCTTTCGCGGTCGTATTCGACTTTTCCGCTTTGCTCGTGGACAGCCTTAATTGAAATAGCTGTATATTGCTTCATGTAAGGTAATTATATTGTATTCCTCTGGGAGAGATAGCTAAGTGTCCATATGTTAGGGTATTAAGACGGGTTTAAGGTTTCTGTTTTATAATGATGAGGTTTTGCTAAAGGAAAATATATGAGATAAATATCTATTAGGGAAACATTGTACTATATTTAAGTTTTCAAAGTGATAAGCATATAAATCTTTTATGGTTTTCATTTTAGTTAGAATTTTGTGTATTTTCACTATCATATAGTTTACAATATTTTTTCTAATTTATTGACTCTGAAAAACCCCTTTCGAGAGAGTTCAATTAAGTATTGTCTTATATTGGAATTATGTATGTCGGTATATATTGGAAAATGTCCATAATAGGTATAGGACAGATTACAGATCCGTATTAGAAATGTGTTCTCATTAGAATAATATCCATAATAATAAATATATAGGTATATTCTTGCACATTTTACACATAAGACCAAACCCCCCACTGTTTTTACGCCATTTTAAGGAACATTGACAAGGCAAAATCAACAAAAAAACTTTTTTCAAAATATATATTTACTTAAAAGGAAAAGGGATGTCATCAAACATCCGTTACAGCAAAATGGTACTTGATATTATCTATTGGCTACTGTTTCCAGGTTACGTCAAGCTGTGAATGATATATAAAGCTTCTTTTTAAAGCTTGGAAAGACTTGTCGCGTAGGAGTGGGAAGCGGTTTTATTTAACCAACAAAGGAAGCGGGCTTTGGCCTGTTTTATACGTCGAATTTCGGACGCGTCGAATGCAATTCAAACAATAGATAATGAAGCTTAATGAGGTTTATCATCTCATTATCTATTGTCTTAATTGCATTCGACGCGACCAAAATTCGAAGTATAAAACATGCCTAATATAGCGATATACAGAGCGTATCAAAAAAGTCCCCCTATAGAAATCACTCTTGTTGTTAAACGTGCGTTGGTATACATCTCTGGGAATTTAAAATAGCTTCTAAAACGAACAGCAACACAAAAATGTCAAATCACAAATTCGTCTTACCGTCAATTCGAGTAACGGTTGAACCGACTACAGAGCAAAGAATATTTGTCGTAACAACTTATGCGTCGACGCAAAGCGTACCGAAGTGTTAAATTATTTGGACGAAGCGAAGTTGTAAATACTTCCGCCGTTCATGTACAATTAAATTAAATTCGCAAGGTATAATAACGCACAAGCGGTGATTTTTAAAGGGGGAGTTTTTTTTGGGACCCTGTATTAAACAAACCAAAAGAACGAAGGGCCAAACCATTAAATATCAAAGCCGACGGGGCAGAGGGGTGAGGGGTGGCAGATCCCTTAAAAAAAAATCATGAAACATTTAGGGGAAGAACATGAAATACAAGAACATCGTGCAAGAACATGAAATAGAAGCAGTGCGAGTACAATCTGATATCAACTTGTTATCCACAGAACAACCTTGTAATAAGTCGCTGCAAGTCTGTAACAACGTGTCAACAAGCTTGTAATAACTTGTCAACAAGTGGGAAATGCGAACACACCCTGATAACAGCTTATTATCTAGAACAACCTGTCTACCGTTTTATGAGATTAACGCCCGTATTCTAAAAGCTCACTCACACTCAATGAGGGGAGTTCAATCTGAGCTTCTCTCGAGTGTCATTGCTGTTTTTGAATAGCTGGAGGGTTAGTGTCGTACCTTACTATGTGACTACTCACCCTCCAGCTATTCAAAAACAGCATTGACACTCAAGAAAAGCTCAGATTGAACCTCCACTCATTGAGTGTGAGTGAGCTTTTAGAATACGGGCGTATGTCATGCTTGACCTATAAAGCTGCACTTGACCATCATTAACAAAATTTTAATCAAAATAATCGGATCCTATCAAATGGCCGAAATACAAACCATGTTTTTCTTTGAAATAAGACGAAATCCTATACTCTATTGTTACTTGATACGCCGAAAACAGTTTGTTTGTAGGCCTACTTAATTGACGTAAAAAAATACTATGGGTCAACCAAGGCATATTGATTATAAACAGATCAATTTTCTATCTCAGTTTACATAACTTATACTGGCTTTAAGTCTGCAGACTTGGTTTATTGACATTGGCTTAATATTTTGAATAAATTACGGTCCACAAATTAATGTCTGTGGTCATTAATGTGAATTTAATCTTAAGCTTGGTTTAACTAACATCTGGTAATTCTAAGTTTTGAAGGATTTGTAAAGGATTTGGTGTTTACAAAAACCGAGTCAGTTTCCTCAAACATTTCTTAGAAATCCAAGAATTTATACCTATGCAAAATTCCTGCTGTGATCACAGAAACTTTGATAGTGTAAACGGCCAGCCTTTAGAGTTTAGTTTTAGACGTTTGATGTTTTTGGCCCTGGTGTTGCATTTGTCTATTTGTAAATATTATTGGCAAATTTCTCTATGCCATTAACCAGTTTGCATTTTAATAATTATATTTAATAAATTTGAGCCAGTTTATAATGGCCAGTTTATAATAGTTTATACCTGTAAACCACATATAAATTATAAGTATTCTCTAGTTATAATCACTCCGCGTATTTTCAGTTCTAAAATGTTGTATTTCGGCTGATGAGAAAGATCATGACTCAATCTTTACGACCGCTACGACCCAAAGCATATTTCACATACTTTATTCTTTGTATTCATGTATTAAAACTACACCACTCTTTTGTGGGTGTAAGTAACCAAGCCCATTAATCATTATATAGCTTGTATATAATAGATGCATGCCATTGCCATTGAGGCACTGATTTGTTACAGCCAGTTTCAACTAATACTGCGTGAAAAGGCTGATTTTATATATGTATAGAAGTGCAAACGATGTAAGGAAGGAATATATCGAGGAGTATATAGTTTGTAACGATGTCATGAGATAGCACGGTGGCTAGAAACTACTGGAAAATATGTATAATAATTACATGTATTATAAGGTTATTTGCATAAGAATAATATTAAACGTCACTTGTAGTTGGACTCGGATACCGAGACTAAAGTCTAATCGGTAGTAACCAAGAACTATATGCACGTAAAATTGAATACACGCATCACCACAATACGGTTTATCAAGCAGAATCTTTATATACAATTCAGTATTTATATACACTGTTAAATTAAGAACTATAAACCAAAGCATATTTCCTGAGCTGAGTCAATAGTTTAATTTAAACATATTATTCGACGACAGATTAGAACACATTATCCAATGTTATTTGCAACATAGAGTATTCTTCGATCAATTTTGTTATAGACAAATTGATTATAAAACACGACAAAATGTTATGCAACAGAAAGAGAAATTCGATGATATATGCAGTAGGTCATACTGTGTCACGAGACACTCATTCAAGCAATTCAAGTCGAGTTTAACGATATCATTTATCGAAGTATAAATGTGCTTCAACCACCATATGTTCGAAAATGTACACCTAAAGTAAAAATGTACCGTTCTTCAAATGTTACCCCTCGCTATACATTCTTCGAATACTTAATATACAGCGATTAAATTAAGCGCATATTCTGGAACAGTTTTGTTTACGTTACTATTAAGCGATTTTCTTATGTCTGCCGTACTTTGCGGTCTATATTTTAATAGTTATCGAGCTTAATAGCAACCCTGTTCCTTTAAACAAGCTTTATCACTCTTATATACATACATCTAAGTGTTATCATCACAATAAATATTGTAGTATAAAATATTAGCAGACTAATGGATTCAAATTTAAAACGGTTCTCTTGACCCTTGTATTCGCTCGTAAGCACTGTATTGAACCTAATAAATCCGTATTTATCCAAGGAAATTTTGGTTAACGGACTGTCCCATTCCCCGGATAAAAGTACAAGGAATGTTTCAAAGAGCGATTGGGTTCTATAATCAGACCACAGCGCTAACTCACCATGGCGCGTTGTACACTTTTAGAATTGAAACAGCACCGTGGCATTTTTGCGATAAAATATCGCAATATAAGCGACGATATATATTCTAGATAAAACATGCGATAAGATTGTACTTCAAAGTTGTTTTAAATCAAACATTACCTCGCTATGAATTCTGTCTAGTCCTCAAGAAAATAAGTATTCAACTCCGCCCAGCTCTAGCGATGTTGTGACCTCGTATGAGTCGGTATCACTATGTTGTTTTGCTAGTATTTCCGGACCTTCGTCTGTTCGCATCGCAGGGCGCTTAAAGGATCAAATGTATAATTTATGCGTTTTAGCTTGAATTTTTAATTAGAATGCAAAATTTGTGGTTATGTATATTAGCAATGCATTGGTCCCAGGCCTTATCTATCTTATCTGTGTTAGGCATACGGGCTGGAAAAATTAGGGATGCAGACAAAACGATGCCCGACATTGATGAAAATTGCCCAACATTATCATGGGTTCAAATCTGTTCACAAGTTGTGTTCGCAATGCTTGTTCCGAGTTGTTGGAACAAGTTTGGAACAAGCTGTTAACAACTTGTAACAAGCTTGATGGCATTATCAGACTTGTTACAAGGTTGTTCTAACAAGTCTGATACAGTCATGATATAACAAGAATGTTACAAGGTTGACGACACACGGTTGTATAGCAATATTATGACTGTATCGGACTTGCTGGAACAACAGCTTGCAACGAGTCTGATAATATCTACAAGGTTCTTACAACCGTTAACAAGTTGTTCCATACTTGTTGACAACTTGGGACAAGCAGTGCGAACACAACTTGTTGACGGCTTGTTGCCAGACTTGTTACAAGATGTGAGATTTTTGCGTGTGTCAATAGGGCCATTTATACGGAACAAAAATATGACGCGACTTAGATAAGACGCGACTTAAGTAAGACGCGAGTTTGTGGTATAAAAGGTACAAAATTCTTATGTAAGACGCGTCTTACATAAGAACAGGTCTTTTAGCTGTTCTTATTTAAGTCGCGTCTTAAATAAGAAATTTTGGACAAAAATTCTAACTACACATGCCAGAAACTTGAAACAACGTAAAATTTAAAGCCTTGCATATTAAAACAAAAACAACCAAAACAACATTATAGCTATAGCAAATAAATAAGACCAAAGCCGTAGAGAACCATTTATGCGATAACTCCACTTATTTAAGTCGCGTCTTATGTAAGTCGCGACTTATTTTGTCACGTATAAATGGCCCTAATATGTCATTTATTTTTCCAACTAATTGTAAACATTGATATCATGACAAAATGCATTATGCCGAGCAGGCTTGGCAAATTGCCCGATGTAGCATCTATTGGACTAAAACATACCCTGACTGGGGGGCTGCAGCCCCCAGGCCCAGGCCGCCTATCTCGTACGCCTATATGCTGATTGTCCACCGCAAACAATCGTTATGGCTAGACGGAGATTTGCCGATAAAAGCATATGGCATATAAATATGAATCATGCTTAGAATAGGAATGATGGTAACTGTCTGGTAACAAGATTCTGTCACCTTCTTGACCCATTGACATCATCCCTCGAGTTTTAAGGAGCTGCGCTTTGGATAATCCTTGAGCTTTGATGGTCGTGAATGTAAGTCCTCCGGAGATATACTGACCACAAATACGATTTTTTTATGTGTAGTATTTTGGTCAGTCTAAGAAGAAATGGAATATATCTTTGCAAACACTGCACAAAAGGAAAGCCCCCTCTCCCTTAAATGTACTAGCGTACGTTCTAAACAAACGAGTCCCTGATAATAACACCTAGAACTAATTAGACCTATGATACACATGCAAAAATCTCACATCTTTAGCAAGTCCGCCACAGGCCGTCAACAAGTTGTGTTCGCACTGCTTGTCACAAGTTGTCAACAAGTTTGGAAAAAGCTGTTAACGACTTGTAAAACCTTGTTGATATTAGCGAACTTGTTGCAAGGTTGTTCCAACAAGTTCGATACAGTCATGATATAATAATATTGTTACAACCTTGTGTCGTCAACCTTGTAACATTCTTGTTATATCATGACTGTATCAGACTTGTTAGAACAACCTTGTAGCAAGTCTGATAATGCAATCAAGCTTGTCACCACTTGTTAACAGCTTGTACCAAACTTGTTACAACAACTGGGAACAAGCAGTGCGAATAAAGTCGACTGCCTGTGAACAGTTTTGCAACAACTTGTTTGCAGACCTGTAACAGTTTGTGTGTTTTTACGTTTGTGTGTAGTTTGCTTAACGCTGTGTGAAGAATGATTATACTATTTCAGTACATTTTATGGTTATCAACGAATAGGCTTGCTGAGTAGTGAATCGATGAATCTGATCATACTACATTTAACATGTTAATTTTGCAATTGAGTATTTTGTATTCAATGGAGGTTAAGTCGTTCTTTCAAGCATGAGTGACCCGTTCTTGACACAGCATACCATGCATGGGTCTAATTAGTGCTAAGGGTGATTATCAGGGTCCCAAGGACTCATGTTCAGAACGTATGCTGATATATTTCGTGGGGAACATTCTTTGTGTGCGGTGTTTAGTATATTCAAGACTTCATCGACTTTTCCACCGTAGAATGAAATGCAAATTAATTCGCCTCATGAGTTTATCTGGCGGCATCGTCTCTGGTAATTTTATCAAGATGAGGTTTTTACTCCAAAGATTTGCAATTACATTTCTTCCTATAGAAGGACCTGAAGTAATTTCACCGACACAAAAAATCATACTTGGGGTCAGTCGCACTTTCACCCATTAAGTTGCATTGAGCCCTGATGTGCCTCACTTTATTATTTTATTCTGTCTAACGCCAGGCGATTTTAATCATCAAGGGGAGAGCCGGGGGGGGGAGCGCAACTAAACCAGAGTAACGAGTTAACATTTTGAAGATGAAATTTTCAGAACTATCAGAATATCAAACAATCCCACTTTGGGTTTCCTCCTGCGGAAATAAAAGAGAACTAATAGTGTTTTGCAGACCCTAAAAAAGGATATTTTCTAGGGGATCATGACCCCTCTCCCCCACACTGGGTTGGGGCTAGATCTGAAGTTTGATGAACAATGTAGAAAGTACTTAGGAAAATTATTAACACCTGTGTCTGATCCTCATATATCCTGTCAGTATATTATGTAACAAAGAATGGGATAACCCACAACTAATGTCAACTACTATTTTTTTATATATGATTCGTAAGCTTACCTGTTTACCATTGTAGTTTGTATATATTGAAAAAGAATGTAAAAGTTTCAATTGTTATTTATCTTTAATTTTTGTTATAGCACTGCAATTGTCACTTAATTTTTTGCCTTAATGAAAATTTTAGAGCATTAATGTCTAAAAGCTGTCTCTACATTATTAAAAGCATTTTAATGGACCTTTAACCTTATAACTAAAATTTTGATCTAGACAAAAATTTCATCACAGCTTGAAAGAGCATCACAAAATTAGTAATATTCCGAAGTTTCGTTACGAAATGTTGTAAAATGCGGATAATATAGCCCTGCGAAGTTTGCAATTTTCAGTCATTTTAGATTACAAACGGGAAATTGATACCCAAACACCCGATTTGGGTATCAATTTCCCGTTTGTGATCTAAAATGACTGAAAATTGCAAACTTCGCAGGTCTATATTATCCGCATTTTACAACATTTCGTAACGAAACTTCGGAATATTACTAATTTTGTGATGCTATTTCAAGCTGTGATGAAATTTTTGTCTAGACTTGTCTAGATCAAAATTTTAGTTATAAGGTTAAAGGTGCATTGCTGTAAAATTATAATCAAAGTAACTGTATGAAATACGTATGGACGCTTCTTATTGGTACTGTTTTGGGCAGCTCGCATCTGATTGATCATGTTTCAGGCAGATCGCATATATCATTTAAACGACCGTCTTACTTAGAATTCTTAGTTTTCATTGTTTTAGAACTGTTTATTATTGCAGATTATAAATCTTAATTTAAAACGCCCTTATCAAAGCATTTTATTGGTGGATCTACATCTTAAAATGACCGTTACTTTATTAAAATAAAATCATTAATATATGTTCTTATATATAACTTTAAATTAAACACATGCCCTGCAGGTGTTTGTTTTATTGAGGTTTTTAAAGGAAAATATATAAGAATTTTGCCGTGTTGGGGAAGTGCCCGGATTAGAGAGGTATCCGTATTAGACTGACTGAGGTGTCCGTCAGATCGAGAGTTCAGAAATATCTATATTTTACCACTTCCAATCTTTAAAATGGCTGTGAACTTCACTGATGAAAGTCCGAGCTATTTCTCGTGTGCCGAATGGGATCAAAATTTCGAAATCGTTCATACGAAAGCGCTCAGAACTTCGTATCTGTGGACTTGTATCCTTAATGGAGTTCTAGCTATCCATACAGCCATATTAAACTCTTTGATCGTTGTGCTGTACTTCAAAGATAAACGTCTTCAAACTACAGCAAATCTACTGATTTTAGCTTTGGCTTTTTCTGATCTATTCGTCGCTTTAGTTATCCAGCCTGCTGTGATTGTTAACAACGCTTTGAGATTTCACGAAATTTATAACTGTGTTTCAGAGATGACCACGTTCATTTTAACGGCAATTGGAGTAGGGCTGTCTTGCTCTACCGTGTACTTTACTATAACTTTGGAAAGATTGTTTGCCATTTGCTGGCCGCTAAAACATCGTGTGCTTGTGACCAAATCTCTACTGAAAAAAATATTTTTAGCTCAAGCTGCTTTTTCGTGTGTAATAGTATTCTCGCTCGTTCTAAACTCGTCCCTGAACGTCTTGATAGACCTGCAATCGGGGTGTACAATTTTTGGCATCATTTTTGTGTTAGCTGCATATCTGTGTATTTTTGTTATAATTCACAAAAGATCACGGGCTGTAGCCAAGAATGGTTTGACGACTGTTTTTTTTGAGAAGGGATCCCGGAATTCCAAGCAGAAGAAAATATCGGGGAAAGATATATCCCAAGATTCCAAGCGAGCTGATCAATCTCCAGATGATGTATCCCAATATTCCAAGCGGACTGATGAATCTGCAGACAATGTATCCCAATATTCCAGGCGGACTGATGAATCTACAGACAATGTATCTCAAGATTCCATGGTAGAGAATAAGTCAACAATCCATATATCCCAAGATTCCAAAGGAAAAAGTAATTCGCCAAAATATGTTTCCCAGAATTCCATGCCGCGGAATAAGCCTCCGAAAAATATATCACAAGGTTCCAAGCTTGAAAGAAATTTGGATGAAAAGCTATCCCAGAATTCGAATCGTAACTCCCTGGTGAATTTGTCCTGTGATTCAAATGGTAACGAGATAAAAATCCCGGATGACAAATTAAAGGATGAGCAACGTACGTTCAGCACATGCGCGTCATTCCAGAAAGCCAGGTTGAAATTGAAGCAAGAATTACGAGTTTGCAAAGCAATGGCCGTGATAGCCGGTGCTCTGGCGCTATGCTTCCTCCCTCGTGCAGTGATATTCAAATGTGTTGTGTCTGGTGCGGTTTCAATGGAGACGTTTTATAACTATCTTATACCGTGGCTTGATGTATTGGCTTTTGTAAATTCATCTCTTAATCCGTACATATATTTCTTTCATAACAAAGACATAACAGAAGGTGTGAAGAAACTTATATTTGGAAAGAAGAATATTTAATTGAATAAAGCAAAGTTACCGACAGTTGAGGCGAACATTAAACGATGGAGCAAGTAGTGAATGTGTTTCGACCATTGATCTCTATATATCTGGAGCAAAGACTTCAGTCATTCGGAGCGCAACTAAACCAGAAAGTAACGAGTTACACATTTTGAAGATGAAATTTCCCACTTTGGGTTTCCTCCTGCGGAAATAAAAGAGAACTAATAGTGTTTTGCAGACCCTAAAAATAGGATATTTTCTAGGGGTCCATGACCCCCTCCCCCCACACTTGGTTGGGGCTAGATCTGAATTTTGATGAACAATGTAGAAAGTACTTTGTCAGCAAAATTATTAACACCTGTGTCAGATCCTCATATATTCTGTCAGTATATTATGTATCAAAGAATGGGATAACCCACAACTAATGTCATACTACTATTTTTTTATGTATATGATTCGTAAGCTTACCTGTTTATCATTGTAGTTTGTATATATTGAAAAAGAATGTAAAAATTTCGATTGTTATTTATCTTTAATTTTTGTTATACACGCGTAAAAATTATGAGCCTGCTGTTTAACAGGATTGAACAATATTGTGCGGCCCATATTGTTCACACTTGTCAACAATATTGAACAATATTGTTGAGCCTGAATCAGGTGTAAAAATATTGTTCAATATTGTTGACAACTGTGAACAATGTGGGCCGCACAATATTGTTCAATCCTGTTTTCATCAATATTGCAATGACCTGGTCGTTTTTAGCTGTGTATAGCACTGCAATTGTCACTTAATTTTTTGGTTAATGAAAATTTTAAAGCATTAATGTCTAAAAGCTGTCTCCACATTATTAAAAGCATTTTAATTGCTGTAAAATTATAATCAAAGTAGCTCTATATGGAATACGTATGGACTCTTCTTATTGGTCCTGTTTTAGGCAGCTCGCATCTGATTGATCATGTTTCAGACAGATCGCATATATCATTTGAACGACCGTCTTACTTAGAATTCTTAGTTTTCATTGTTTTAGAACTGTTTATTATTGCAGATTATAAATCTTAATTTAAAACGCCCTTATCAAAGCATTTTATTGGTAGATCTACACCTTACAATGACCGTTACTTTATTAAAATAAAATCATTAATATCTGTTCTTATATGTAACTTTAAATTAAACACATGCCCTGCAGGTGTTCGTTTTATTGAGGTTTTTAAAGGAAAATATATAAGAATTTTGCCGTGTTGGGGAAGTGCCCGTATTAGAGAGGTGTCCGTATTAAAGACTGAGGTGTCCGTCAGATCGAGAGTTCAGAAATATCTATATTTTACCACTTCCAATCTTTAAAATGGCTGTGAACTTCACTGATGAAAGTCCAAGCTATTTCTCGTGTGCTGAATGGGACCAAAATTTCGAAACCGTTCATACGAAAGCGCTCAGAACTTCGTATCTGTGGACTTGTATCCTTAATGGAGTTCTAGCTATCCATACAGCCATATTAAACTCTCTGATCGTTGTGCTGTACTTCAAAGATAAACGTCTTCAAACTACAGCAAATGTGCTGATCTTAGCTTTGGCTTTTTCTGATCTATTCGTCGCTTTAGTAATCCAGCCTGCTGTGATTGTTAACAACGCTTTGAGATTTCACGAAATTTATAGCTGTGTTTCAGAGCTGACCACGTTCACTTTAGCGGAAATTGGAGTAGGGCTGTCTTGCTGTACCGTGTGCTTTACCATGACGTTAAAAAGATTGTTTGCCATTTGTTGGCCGCTAAAACATCGTGTGCTTGTGACCAAATCTCTACTGAACAAAATATTTTTAGCCGAAGTTGCTTTACATTGTGTGATACTATTACCGCTCGTTCTAAACTCGTCCCTGAAATTCTTGATGGACCTGCAATCGGGGTTCATAATTTTTGGCATCATTTTCGTGTTAGCTGCATATCTGTGTATTTTTGTTATAATTCACAAACGGTCCCGGGCTGTAGCCAAGAATGGTTTGACGACTGATTTTTTGGCGAAGGGCTCCCGGAATTCCAAGCAGAAGAAAATATCGGGGAAAGATGTATCCCAAGATTCCAAGCGAGCTGATAAATCTCCAGATGATGTATCCCAATATTCCAAACGGACTGATGAATCTGCAGACAATGTATCCCAAGACTCCAAGCGAGAGAATAAGTCGACAATCCATGTATCCCAAAATTTCAAAGAAAAGAGTAATTCGCCAAAATATGTTTCCCAGAATTCCGTGCCGCGGAATAAGCCTCCAAAAAATATATCCCAAGGTTCCAAGCGTGAAAGAAATTTGGATGAAAATCTATCCCAGAATTCGAATCGTAACTCCCTGGAGATTGTGTCCCACGATTCAAATGGTAACGAGATAAAGGGTGATCAATATACGTTCAGCACATGCGCGTCATTCCAGAAAGCCAGGTTGAAATTGAAGCAAGAATTACGAGTTTGCAAAGCAATGGCGGTGATAGCCGGTGCTCTGGCGCTATGCTTCCTCCCTCGCGCAGTGATATTCAAGTGTGCAGTGTCTGGTGTAATTTCAATGGAGACGTTTTATAATTATCTTGAGCCGTGGCTTGATGTATTGGCTTTTGTAAATTCATCTCTTAATCCTTACATATATTTCTTTCATAACAAAGATATAACAGAAGGTGTAAAGAAAATTATATTTGGAAAGAAGAATACTCAATTGAATAAAACAAAGTTACCGACTGTTGAGGCGAACATTAAACGATGGAGCAAGTAGTGAATGTGTTTTGACCATTGATCTTTATATACCTGGAGCAAAATCTTCAGTCATTCGGAGCGCAACTAAACCAGAAAGTAACGAGTTACACATTTTGAAGATGACATTTCCCACTTTGGGTTTCCTCCTGCGGAAATAAAAGAGAACTAATAGTGTTTTGCACACCCTAAAAATAGGATATTTTCTAGGGGACCATAACCCCCTCCCCCCACACTGGGTTGGGGCTAGGTCCGAATTTTGATGAGCAATGTAGAAAGTACTTTGTTATGAAAATTATTAACACCTGTGTCAGATCCTCATATATTCTGTCAGTATATATTATGTATCAAAGAATGGGATAACCCGCAACTAATGTCATACTACTATTTTTTATGTATATGATTCGTAAGCTTACCTGTTTATCACTGTAGTTTGTATATATTGAAAAAGAATGTAAAAGTTTCGATTGTTATTTATCTTTAATTTTTGTTATAGCACTGCAATTGTCACTTAATTTTTTGGTTAATGAAAATTTTAAACATACATTAATGTCTAAAAGCTAGCTGTCTCCACATTATTAAAAGCATATAATCAAAGTAACTGTATGGAATATGGACGCTTCTTATTGATCCTGTTTTAGGCAGCTCGCATCTGATTGGTCATGTTTCAGACAGATCGCATATATCATTTGAACGACCGTCTTACTTAGAATTCTTATACTGACGATTGGTATGAATATTTATTCCCGCTCGTTCAGATTATAAATCTTAATTTAAAACGCCCTTATCAAAGCATTTTATTGGTATATAGATCTGCACCTTACAATGGCCGTTACTTTATTAAAATAAAATCATTAATATCTGTTCTTATATGTAACTTTAAATTAAACACATGCCCTGCAGGTGTTCGTTTTATTGAGGTTTTTAAAGGAAAATATATAAGAATTTTGCCGTGTTGGGGAAGTGCCCGTATTAGAGATGTGTCCGTATTAGAGACTGAGGTGTCTGTCGGATCGAGAGTTCAGAAATATCTATATTTTACCACTTCCAATCTTTAAAATGGCTGTGAACTTCACTGATGAAAGTCCAAGCTATTTCTCGTGTGCTGAATGGGACCAAAATTTCGAAATCGTTCATACGAAAGCGCTCAGAACTTCGTATCTGTGGACTTGTATTCTTAATGGAGTTCTAGCTATCCATACAGCCATATTAAACTCTCTGATCGTTGTGCTGTACTTCAAAGATAAACGTCTTCAAACTACAGCAAATGTGCTGATCTTAGCTTTGGCTTTTTCTGATCTCGTCGTCGCTTTAGTAATCCAGCCCGCTGTGGTTGTTAACAACGCTTTGAGATTTCACGAAATTTATAGCTGTGTTTCAGAGCTGACGACGTTCGCTTTAACGGCAATTGGAGTAGGACTGTCTTGCTCTACTGTGTGCTTTACTATAACTTTGGAAAGATTGTTTGCCATTTGTTGGCCGCTAAAACATCGTGTGCTTGTGACCAAATCTCTACTGAAAAAAATATTTTTAGGTCAAGTTGCTTTACATTGTGTGATAGTATTCCCTTTCATTCTAAACTCGTCCCTGAAATTCTCGCTAGAAATGCAATCGGGGTCTATAATTTTTGGCATCATTTTCGTGTTAGCTGCATATCTGTGTATTTTTATTATAATTCACAAAAGATTCCGGGCTGTAGCCAAGAATGGTTTGACGACTGATTGTTTGGAGAAGGTATCCCGGAATTCCAAGCAGAAGAAAATATCGGGGAAAGATATATCCCAAGATTCCAAGCGAGCTGATAAATCTCCAGATGATGTATCCCAATATTCCATGCGGACTGATGAATCTACAGACAATGTATCCCAATATTCCAGGCGGACTGATGAATCTACAGACAATGTATCCCAAGATTCCAAGCTAGAGAATAAGTCAACAATTCATATATCCCAAGATTCCAAAGAAAAGAGTAATTCGCCAAAATATGTTTCCCAGAATTCCATGCCGCGGAATAAGCCTCCAAAAAATGTATCCCAGGGTTCCAAACGTGAAAGGAATTTGGATGAAAATCTATCCCAGAATTCCAATCGTAACTCCCTGGAGATTCTGTCCCATGATTCAAATGGTAAGGAGATGAAAATCCCGGATAATAAATTAAAGGATGAGCAACGTACGTTCAGCGCATGCGTGTCATTGCAGAAAGCCAGGTTGAAATTGAAGCAAGAATTACGAGTTTGCAAGGCAATGGCCGTGATAGCCGGTGCTGTGGCGCTATGCTTCCTCCCTCGTGCAGTGATATTTAAATATGTTGTGTCTGGTGCGATTTCAATGGAGACGTTTTATAACTATCTTATACCGTGGTTCGATGTATTGGCTTTTGTAAATTCATCTCTTAATCCGTACATATATTTCTTTCACAACAAAGACATAACAGAAGGTGTGAAGAAAATTATATTTGGAAAGAAGAATACTCAATTGAATAAAACAAATTTACCGACTGTTGAGGCGAACATTAAACGATGAAAGTTTCAAAAGGTCTACTTTTTTGGGACACCATATATAGTATTTAGCCTGGCTTTTCACGAAGCTGTTCAAATATTACCATGCTTTTGGCCATTGGCAAGCGATGTTGACATTGACTTTAAATTTTTTTCTCTTATATACAAGAGGTTAATAATTTAATAGATACATATTTCTGGTTTATGCACTGACATTCGTGACGTTTATGAATTATTTTCTAGCTAAACTTCATTCACAACACAGATATCTAGAAGGTGTGGGCGTCTCTATTCGCCGTGACATCGCGGGACGCTAAATTACATCACACCGGCCGGTCGTAAAGATTGAGTCACGATCTTTCTCATCAGCCGAAATACAACACTTTAGAACTGAAAATACATGGAGTGATTATAACTAGAGAATATAGGCCTATACTTATGATTTATATCTGGTTTACTGGTATAAACTATTATAAACTGGCTGTTGAGAAATATCGTAACTCTACTTTTACGACCTAAATTCTAACAATACGTTATTTCAATAGTTTTGGCCAGTTTTGGTTTTTTGGGGGCACCCAGTACAGGGTGTATCAAAAATAGGAGACGTTTAATTAGAAATTAACCTTATATATTGTTATATAATTTGAATGCTATAAGCACTACTCTGAACACAAGAGTGCGGAAACACAATTGAATTGAAGTTTTAATTACCAGAAGCAAAATATATTGTGCTTAACAACAATAGATTAATTTCATGATACACCCTGTATAGTAGTAACTCTGGTCCAGAACAGGATGATCTTTCCTGGTCTCTAGGAGAATCTGTTTAGAACTGATAGAGCTTTCCAGTATAAATAAAGTTAACTTGATTTTGTTGAGTATATATATCTACTATATAATTATATAGTTCAAGTAAGGTCATTGAAGAGTAATTTGTTTTGGTTTGCGGGCATTTGAGTACCTGCTTCAGTCACTGTTTGAAGACGCTCATACGATCTTAATAATTAATTATCTTATGCAAGCTTTAGACAGCATTACACGAGCTTTCATCTGCATCTAAACCAGACACTGTTGTGAAGTAATTCTCTATTCTTCACTATTGTGAAGTAATTCTCTATTTTCCTGGTGCATGGTAAGGATTACCTGTGTAGAATATGGAAATTAGGTGATTTTGAAGCTGCAGAACAAAGGTATATAAGCATTGATAATTATTATAATCAAATCAGTATAAAGGTAGCGTCATAACATCAGGCAAAATAACGCTTTGTAGGATTAGAGATTTTTTAAACGGATTCTTGGTGAGATATCTGTAATCAAATCAATTTGCAGCAATAGCCAATTGGCTCTATTTGCAACAAATATATACATGACTTTGCTAAATACTGATTATATATCAATAGTCAATAATTAACTATTACTATCAAAAGTATACAAAAGTAACTACTTTTAGTAAAATTGTGCATAGTTTAAGTTTGCCCAAGGCATAAGAAAATAAAACATTTTTATTCGTTGCCCGTACTCCATGAGTTCGCTAGAACTTTTGACATCTGAAACTATACAGTCAGCTACAGCCATTACCCCCAAATTTGCATATAATTGAATAAAATCTAAACAAATTAAGTTATTCAGTTTGCTAAGTTCTCTTCAAAGCAAACTTTTTTACGACTCGCATTTGCTGATGCAGTTCAAAAAGTTTGTTCGTTCATTATACGGAACATTTTCTAGGATATCAAAATTTCTGTGATACTGATGAATATCACGGGGACTCGACAGGTACACTGTAGATGAATTGACTCCCACAGGCGGCACAGATCGCGACAAGTCTTAATTTTTAAATTTGCTTGTGGCTGTTGAGAATATAGTCTATAGAGTATAGCATAGTTTGTTTATGGCAAATTAACAAATTTGCAAGATATCTCGTCTGTATGCACATGTTTGATTGCGTCGCTGTTCCAGTGTACGAAAGCACTGGCAAAAATTAAGGTAACCAAGCACTGTATACTACTTACAGAAGCATAGAAAATAAAACAAAGGTAACTTCATAGCAAGCATTAGAATTATACATGCAGCCAATTCAAAACCTTAAACTCTAAACCTTAAACTCGAAGCGCGCAAAGTTTAATGGGAACACAAGTTTCAAGCTTAATATTTGAATATTGCAGCCATTTGTTGATGCATTGTTCTCGAAAGGAGATATTTACCATGTCTCTAAGGGGCGGACCATTAGAAATCCCGGGAGGGGGGGGGGGGGGAAAATTCCCCCAAAAAAATTCGTGCAAAGAAAAATGCCTGGAAAAAAAATTCGTGCAGCCATTACGTCAGAGAAAAAAAATTCGTGCAAGCAAACAGCAAAGTACAAGTAGTCTTGAAAAAAAATTCGTGCAGAGGTTAAATGCATTAAAAAAAATTCCTGCAGAGACATGAGACTGAAAAAAAAATTCGTGCCGCAAAAATTTTATACCCCCCCTCCCGGGATTTCTAATGGTCCGCCCCTAAGAAATGGGCCCCAGCATATATGATTTCTAAACTGATTAAATGATGCTCCTATTATGCTTTGCACGCTTAGAGTTTAAGGTTTAAGGTTTAGAATTTAAGGTTTGCAAAGGACAACCTTTTTTGAAGTACTATTTAAAAAACGAGCAGAAGTGTTTTATTAGGTTTAAAGCCACGAGCGCGCAGCGCAAGTGGCTTTAGACCTAATAAAACACGACCTGCGAGTTTTTAAATGGCTTCAAAAACGTTTGCATAATAAGTCAAATCTTTATATAAAAATCTTTATATAAAAGTCTTTATATAGTTTGCATAACAATGGTCTTTTGTTAAAGTGTTCTTTAGCTGGTATAATGACGTATGCACGTGACTAATTTCTTACTCAAGATTGGATAATTGCTTCATGAATTATTAATGAGTTTTTGAATTAGCTGTAAACAAACGTTAGTCAAATATGTCTATATGCATGCGTGTCTGCATGGCTCATGAACGAAGAAACAATGGGACATACTGATCGTTGAATCGTCTCTGTACAAGGGTAATAAAGTAACTTTGCACACATGCGTAATAAGTCGTAAGTCTCTGCACACATGCGTTTATATAAAGTAACACAATACTCCAAGGTATGGCGTGGCTACAATTATAAGGCATGCCGAAAACAGGCATACTTTATATAGCCACGGTGATAAAGAACCCAACACTCCATTGTATATACTGCGCGTTTTTATGAAACTATATTTACCATAAACCGCTATAGTTCATACCTCCAGATCATAGATATCTTATATACACTAGATAGTGCATCTAATTATTCTGCAATTCAAAAATTGAAGCCGTGATTGCAGACTCAGGATATTCCCATGAAATGAGAAGATTCGTATGTTTTCTATTTCTTAAACAGGAAACTTAAACATTAAGTTAAACCTATTCCAAATACATTTTCAAACTATTCAAATGATGAAAGTTATTGTTGTTTTTTAAGTGTTTATTAGCGAGTGGGAAACTTCAACATGGCCGCCATCTATTCAAATGGGGGTAACCGCTGGAATATTCTTGGCTTCAATTTTACTAAAAGAGATGCGCTATGTAGTGTATATAAGATATCTATGCTCCAGATACAGCCAAGGTGCCGCTCATGAAACTACAGCACCCCTACGGCTCTCCAAACAAATGCTATAAAACACTGGCTATAACCGTGGCTATAATTTGAGCTGTATGCTTTATAGCCACGGCAATAAAGTAACCCAATAAAGTGACCCAAGAGGAGAATTTGCATTGATATAGCAGATAAAGCAATATAAATTTGTTTATTTGTGATGAATTCAGTACTTTTTTACCATGGATATCAACAAAAATATATCAACCGTATTCATTTGTTGGATTTCGGCATCTCAATATATCAATCCATTTTCAAATCACCCGCGGTCACAGTCAATATAACTGCTTATACTGTCATCAGACTGATGTTGATGGCGAAGCTGAATTATTGTTGCCGTTGGGTGAACGCCGTGTTAAACCACTCTAAACTTTCAGGATTTCAGCGATAGTTGCCTGTTTCTTCTATACTGTAGATGAAGATATAATCGCGTACGGTCGATGCTAGTGTATGTGGCGACCGAATTAGCGACGATAAAGACAACTGTCGATTGAGAGAGACACTTTCACAGAATTTCGACGTTTCGACCGAAGGCCCTTTGTCGTTGGTTATAGCTACTAACTTCCCAGCAAAGCTAAGCCTTCTCTCGAACTGATCGAAGTCCTGGTTATCATTTTCAGGTAGTTGTAGCCTCTTCCAATTTGCAGCTGTCTGTATAGGAGGAAATTGCGAATACAATTACTACTGGCCATTGCATGGGGCAAAGTGCAACAAGCATATTGGCTAAACGTACAAAGTTGTCCTTCAGTAGCATTATATAAATATTGTGTTCGAGTGAGGCCAAAAGCTACTGTAAAAAGTAAAGCCTAACTTAGGCGGCAAATTTTTAATAGAAAAATATAAAAAGTTAAAAAGGTCTCTAACTTTTTATATTTCTATATTTTTCTATTAAAATTTGCCGCCTAAATTAGGCTTTACTTTTTACACTAGCTTTTGGCCTCACTCAAACACAACAAGCCTATTGGCTATTTACAAACAAATTAGTACGTTTAGTTTTGTTAGTATTCCTAAATAGTTCCAGGGCCTTTGGTGGCGCGGTCGACAAAGCAAGCGCCTTTCATCTCTGAGTTCGTGGGTTTGATTCTCGCTATGGACTCATGTGAAAAGAGTCTGTCAACGCTCTGTCGCAAGTCGTGGGTTTTCTCCGGGTGCACCGGTTTCCTCCCACAGGGAAAATTGACAGGGTGGGTTAGGATAAACACAGTTAAGAAAGTAATATCACAATTGTTGTAAAGATAAAATAGTCTGCGATGGGCTAAGTATACACGCGTAAAAATTGAGAAAATCAACAACTTGTTCCAGGTTGATATCAACAGGCGTGAACAAGGTTGTGCGGCCCACTATGAACAGTATTGTCAACATGTTGTTACAGCATTGTTCAACTGTAACAAGTTGGAACAACATGGTTGACAACTTGTTCATAGTTGGCCGCACAACATTGTTCACGCCTGTCGATATCAACTTGCAACAACCTGTGCGTTTTTAGCTGTGTATGTAATTAGGTAAGCGTAATACTTGATGTAAAGTGCATTTGGTCATATCCGCATGTTAATTTGCGTTGTAGAAATGCTAATCGTAATCGTTTTCCATTTTTCTAGTCTTACTTGATTGGATTATTTCAACTGAACAATGGAGGAACAAGAAAACGCAGCGAAACTACTAGAGGAGAAAAAAGCGGATTGGGAGTCGTTTGTTAGGAAGGCCAAAGTGAAGACAGGCAACCATACAACCATGGTGCGATTTTACAACGCCATTTATAATTTCATGATAATGACAGTCATATTGATTGCGGGTAAGTTGTGACAAGAGGATTTTTTCTCCAAATATTTGATATTCCAAATTGCTTGCTTATAAGGTGCGAGTAGTACTGTTGTATTTCAAATAGTTGTCATTTTGTTGTTGTTGTTGTTGTGTTTGTTGTTGTTGTTGGTTGTTGTTGTTTGTTGTGTTTGTTGTTTGTTGCGTTTGTTGTTTGTTGTTTGTTGTTGTTGGTTGTTGTTGGTTGTTGTTGTTGTTGGTTGTTGTTGTTTGTTGTTGTTGTTGGTTGTTGGTTGTTGTTTGTTGTTTGTTGTCGTTATTTGTTTGTTGTCGTTGTTTGTTGTTGTTGTTGGTGGTGTCGTTGTTGTTGTTGTTGTTGTGTATGTTGTTGTTGCTACATTCATGCTTGCTACTATTTTTATGTTGTGATTGTTATTTATCGATGTTGTAAGGGTTGCCGTTACTTCTTTGTTTTTTATTTTTATCGTTGTTCTTACTGTTCATCGGAAAATATTGTGGTTTGATGAAAGTTTTTTTTCAAAGTTTCTGTGATCACGGTAGGAATTTTGTAAAGGTAAATTCTAAGTTTTGAAGGATTTGTAAGAAATGTTTGAGGGAAAACACTGACCCAGAATTTACCTATGCAAAATTCTTACTGTGATCACAGAAACTTTCATAGTGTAAACCAGCCTTCAGTGATAATTCATTTTTTTCCAGGAATTCTCACATGTATAATCCTCCTGGGCGGTATAGACAAGATGGTACTGGCAGCTCTGAGCGGAGCATGTACCATACTAACAGCCTGTTCAAAATTCTTGGTAGCAGACCGTAAGAAGGCAGGACATAAACGCTTCGCTAAGCTCTTTCAGACATTATTAATACGCATGTTACGATGTGAGACGACTGTAGAGTACAATGCATTAAGACATGAACTGACTGAGGCAATTATCAGGGAACCATTGGTTTTAATTTGGCAACGAAGGAAGACTAAAACGAAGTTGAATTACACGATGACACATCGTTTAGCGCTGGTATGTATTCCCCTTTCTGCTGATCAAGCCTGTCACTGCAGGAGCGATTTTCAGTGCGAATTTATTCTTCTGATGGATGTGAACGAGTGGATGAGTTATGAATGTTCAGATGAGGGTATATGTACTCAGAACAATGATAATTCATCTGCTCGTTCACATCCATCAGAAGTAGAAAATTTCACTAGAAATCGCAGCAAAAATTGCAAGTGTAAATGGGCCTTAATTATAGTTCTGTAATATTTTTTACAGAAAACGTGAAAATTATTTAGCGCACAGTCTCTAATTACGCCGCCCCCCCCCCCCACCCCCGCCGCCCACTTCTATACTAAGCACCCAGTTCAGGACCAGTGGAAGAGAGGAAATACCGGGCTTGCTTTGGCAACTCGTTATGTTTTAGTAACTGTGCAGAATGGATTTCCTTTGTCTTGCACGAGCGCGTTAATTAGAACCATATCACTACGTTTGGTATGACATGACTGATGTGATCGTTTAATTAACTTTCAAATAACGTGAGCGAACAGATCACGACTGTTTTGGTATATAAAAGGGACGTGTGAATTAAACAAGTCGTATATTAAGTTCTTTGTAGGATTGCATGGCGATAAAACATATAAAACTTTTTGTTTGTGAAAACACCATGTAAATTTATTACTGCAAAGCTTTCGATCCGTAAGCCCGGATCTTCATCAGTGCTAATAGTATGAGCACATATTATTAGCACTGATGAAGATCCGGGCTTACGGATCGAAAGCTTTGCAGTAATAAATTTACGTGGTGTTTCCACAAACAAAAAGTATTATAAGTCGTATATTATTGGCACTGATGAAGATTTGGGCTTACGGATCGAAAGCTTTGCAGATAATGAATTTATGTGGTATTTCCACAATCCAGAAACTGATAACTCTTTATTTCTGGTACTTCTCGTGGTAGGCGCTAGAAGGTAAAGAAGAACCAGTACTTGGTAATACCTCACCCATGAACCATCATCAATATGGTCGTATGAGCCCTGGTAAACCAATGGAGTTTAATCCACATGACTTTCACGTGATGTCCATTGGGGAACCGTCGAGCAATCAGCAGGTAGACGTCATATATTATAGGCAGACTACACACGTAAAAACGCACAAGTTGTGGCAATGCTGTTCCAACAACTTGTCAACAGGATGTGTTCGCACTGCTTGTTCCCAGCTTGTTGACAAGTTGTCAACGGCTTGCTGACAACTTGCTACAAGGTTGTTGAGCTCAACAGACTTGTTACAAGTTCTTCCAACAATTTGTTATCGTCTTGCTATTCAACAACTTGTCAACAAGTTGTGAGTGACAACCTTGTAGCAACTTGATAAAATAACAGCATTGTTACAACTTGTTCACAAACCTGTAGCGAACACATCTTGTTGACAAGTTGTGAGATTTTTACGTGTGTATAATTTCACGAAGAGTGCTTCCATTTTGACTCTACCAAGCACTGCAAGTTCCCTTGAGGTATTCCAGTTTTGTTTCGATATACAGTACTCCTATATTTTACTTTCTACATAGGGACGTCACTCGCGTGATGGCTATGTCGCAATCTCTGGTTTCCAAGAACAGCCTGAAAGAAATATTTCAAGAAATAGCAATCGAGACAAAAGCATGATTGCAGAACAGGTAAAATATCTCCAAGTGGAAATTCTCATAAATCGAACATTTCTTCCTTTTACTAAATCTCTGGGGAGAACAGTTTAGAACTGATAGAGCTATCCAGTATAAATACAGTTAGTTTAGGTTAGATTTCCTCCTGTAGTAACACTGGATCAATAAGAGATGACTCTTACTGGACCTCTACAGAGAACAGTTTAGAACTGATAGAGCTATCCAGTATAAATAAAGTTAGTTTAGTTTAGGTTTCCCCCTATAGTAACACTGGATCAGTAAGAGATGATTCTTACTGGACCTCTATAGAGAGAACAGTTTAGAACTGATAGAACTATCCAGTATAAATAAAGTTAGTTTAGTTTAGGTTTCCTCCTGTAGTAACACTGGATCAGTGTTTTAGATTCTTACTGGATGATTCTTACTGGACCTCTAGGGAGAACAGTTTAGAACTGATAGAACCATCCAGTATAAATAAAGTTAGTTTAGTTTAGGTTTCCTCCTATAGTAACACTGGATCAGTAAGAGATGATTCTTACTGGACCTCTAGGGAGAACAGTTTAGGACTGATAGAACTATCCAGTATAAATAAAGTTAATTAGGTTAGATTTCCTCCTGTGGTAACACTGGATCTGAAGAGATGACTCCATACTGGAACTGATAAAACTCTTTAGTGTAAAATGTGAACTGATAAAACTCTCTTAGTTTTAGGTCAGATATACGATGTTTCGGACACGTACGTCTGATGCCTTGTTTACACCGAGTATCTTTCATTATTTTAGATGCCTGATTCTTCCCCCAGCAAAGGCAAAAAGAAGAAAATAAAAACAGAAAGTGAAAAGGTATAAACTATGAATTTTGAAAACAGTCTGAGCTACATCCTTCGAAATTCAGCACTCAACTCACTCTTTTGGCACAGGATCTCAGCCAGGGTCTCAGATTTACGTTTTTAGGAGTGTTTCTAAATTTCAGGGCGTGTACAAGCCAATTACAGTACCCAGAATAGTGACTTATTTCATTATTTCCTGTAGTCATTTCAGTCCAAACATACATTCCAAGCTGCGTCATCTCAAGGGACACTTGATGAGATCGATGAAGAGGAGGAAACTGAGGGACAACAGGTGGGTTTTATACCATTCTATCCATTCCCATCCTCGACACTTTTGTGAATGTTTTAGGTAGATTCTTGTTTTTTAATTAATATTGTTAGCCAGAATTTACATTTCCTAAAACAACTTTACATTTTCCTAAAAAAATGTTTGAGAATTTAATGTTATATAATACCCTGAAGAAGAAGAAAGATTTTATTATGCACATTGGTATTAATATTTACAGTTTATCTGTTGAGATTAGAACTTAAGAATTATACATAATGATGTTATTATAAATTTAAATTGGATGTGCGCAGTAGCCAAAGTAGCGTGAGCTTTCGAGTTGGTTAAAGCCATTTACCCTCAGATTTCCAAACACGTTCAAGTTCGTGTAATATATATACAGGGTAGCCCCCTCCCCTCCCTCCCTGTTATGTAGGTTCAAGGAAGGTGTACCCCCCTAAGACCACTTCCTGTTTTTTCGTCATTCGTAGTTCGAATGGGATTTATTTGTCTTGTCAGAACCTCCAGGAGACAAGTGAGACCACGGCATTAAATGGTCGGAAAGGAAAGAAAAAGAAAGGGGCGACTCAGGTATGATGTCATCGCAAACTCGTTAATAATTCATGAGAAAATTAGCCAACCATATTGCTTTATTTTGCTCACATGATAATATCGGATACCTGGTGAAGTATATTGATCCAGTCCTAGGAGTGGATCACTAGATTAATTCAGGCTATTAAAAGGCTACGCTATATTGAAAATAATTAAACTTTTTTATCTCTTTTAGTCCAAGATATCCACACCAACCCAAGATCTTCCTCCGCCACCTTCGATAACAGAAGGCGATGACGATGATTATTATGATAATGGCTCACAGCAGGTCAGAAATGAAAGTTTAAATGTTTTAGAATAATAGAAATAATACAATGTTCAATATGTATCTCGTCAGTCAGAATTCAGCCCCCGCACACATTAATAACACCATGAATCAAATCCCAAGTTTTGATCAAGTCCTAGGACTGGATAATGTTTTAATTAAGTCCTAGGACTGGATGAAGTTTTGATCAAGTCCTAGGAATGGATGAAATTTTGATCAAGTCCTAGGACTGTGTGAAGTTTTGTTCAAGTCCTAGGACTGGGTGAAGTTTTGTTCAAGGCCTAGGACTGTGTGAAGTTTTGTTCAAGTCCTAGAACTGTGTGAAGTTTTGTTCAAGTCCTAGGACTGTGTGAAGTTTTGTTCAAGTCCTAGGACTGAGTGAAGTTTTGTTCAAGTCCTAGAACTGTGTGAAGTTTTGTTCAAGTCCTAGGACTGGATGAAGTTTTGTTCAAGTCCTAGGACTGAATGAAGTTTTGTTCAAATCCTAGGACTGGATGAAGTTTTGTTCAAGTCCTAGGACTGGGTGAAGTTTTAGTCCTAGGACTGGATGAAGTGTTGATCAAGTCCTAGGACTGAATGAAGTTTGATCAAGTCCTAGGACTGGGTGAAGTTTTATTCAAGTCCTAGGACTGGATGATGTTTTGATCAAGTCCTAGGACTGGGTGAAGTTTTAGTCCTAGGACTGGATGAAGTGTTGATCAAGTCCTAGGACTGAATGAAGTTTGATCAAGTCCTAGGACTGGGTGAAGTTTTATTCAAGTCCTAGGACTGGATGATGTTTTGATCAAGTCCTAGGACTGGGTGAAGTTTTAGTCCTAGGACTGGATGAAGTGTTGATCAAGTCCTAGGACTGAATGAAGTTTGATCAAGTCCTAGGACTGGGTGAAGTTTTATTCAAGTCCTAGGACTGGATGATGTTTTGATCAAGTCCTAGGACTGGGTGAAGTTTTAGTCCTAGGACTGGATGAAGTGTTGATCAAGTCCTAGGACTGAATGAAGTTTGATCAAGTCCTAGGACTGGGTGAAGTTTTATTCAAGTCCTAGGACTGGATGATGTTTTGATCAAGTCCTAGGACTGGGTGAAGTTTTAGTCCTAGGACTGGATGAAGTGTTGATCAAGTCCTAGGACTGAATGAAGTTTGATCAAGTCCTAGGACTGGGTGAAGTTTTATTCAAGTCCTAGGACTGGATGATGTTTTGATCAAGTCCTAGGACTGGGTGAAGTTTTAGTCCTAGGACTGGATGAAGTGTTGATCAAGTCCTAGGACTGAATGAAGTTTGATCAAGTCCTAGGACTGGGTGAAGTTTTATTCAAGTCCTAGGACTGGATGATGTTTTGATCAAGTCCTAGGACTGGGTGAAGTTTTAGTCCTAGGACTGGATGAAGTGTTGATCAAGTCCTAGGACTGAATGAAGTTTGATCAAGTCCTAGGACTGG